GTATCTGGGACCACAGGTGTGCACCACCACGCCTGATGTTTTTTTATTTTTTGAGACAGAGTCTTGCTCTGTCACCCGGGCTGGAGTGCAGTGGTGTGATATCAGCTCACTGCAAGCTCCGCCTCCCAGGTTTACGTCATTCTTCTGCCTCGGCCTCCCAAAGTGCTGGGATTACAGGCTTGAGCCACCGCGCCTGGCCTAATTTTTGTATTTTTAGTAGAGACGGGGTTTCACCATGTTGGCCAGGATGGTCTCGATCTCCTGACCTCGTGATCCGCCTGCCTTGGCCTCCCAAAGTGCTGGGATTACAGGCTTGAGCCACCGCGCCTGGCCTAATTTTTGTATTTTTAGTAGAGATGGGGTTTCGCCATGTTGCCCAGGCTGGTTTCGAACTCCTTGCCTAATGTGATCCGCCCACCTCAGCCTCCCAAAGTGCTGGGATTACAGGTGTGAGCCACTACACCTGGCTCTCATTGGCTTTTTATAGGATTTTAAATTTGATGTAATTAATTCCACTACAGAGATTTCTTGGACTAGTTAATATCCTTAGTCTAAAAAACTTGTCATAATGACTTAATTCAAATTACCTTTTTTTTTTTTTGGAGACAGAGTTTCACTCTTGTTGCCCAGGCTGGAGTGCAATGGCGCAATCTCAGCGCCATGTTGGTCAGGCTGGTCTTGAACTCCCAACCTCAGGTGATCCGCCTGCCTTGGCCTTCCAAAGTGCTGGGATTATAGAAGTGAGTCACTGCGCCCAGCCCAAACTAAATTTTTGTGCTAGAATTTCATTAAATAAATTGCAGTTTGGGTAATTAGTGAGAATATCTGTAGAAAAGTTGTCTAGTAATGGAGAAAAACAACTTGAAGAGGGGTACTAGAGCATTTCTAGGAATTTCATTTCACAGTTTACCTGAGTAAGTACTGTACCTAATCCCTCATCCCTGAATGGATCTTCTACAATGCTTATTCATATTACCCTTTCCCTACTTTCACTGCTTTTGCCTTTAAAATAAAGACTGGACAGGAAACCAGTAATTTTCCTTAAGTAGAGGATTAATATTGTAGTGTCCAAAAGCAGTCAATTCTTGTTTTGTTTGAGACGGAGTTTCACTCTTGTCGCCCAGGCTGGAGTGTGATGGCACGATCTCGGCTTACTGCAACCTCCACCTCCTGGGTTCAAGTGATTTTCCTCTCTTAATCTCTCTAGTAGCTGGGATTGCAGGTGCCCACCACCATGCCCAGCTAATTTTTGTAATTTTAGTAGAGAGGGAGTTTCACTATGTTGCCCAGGCTGGTCTCGAACTCCTGATCTCACGTGATTTGCTCGCCTCAGCCTCCCAAAGTGCTGGGATTATAGGTGTGCACCACCATGCCCAGCCAGCAGTTAATTCTTTTCACCGCTGCCAGTGTGCTATTGCTGCAGCACTCTGGCATCTTGCCAACCAGGGAAATTTGGAGCAAAAAGGAAAGGAATCTGGCGTTATATTTTGGATGTTTTTCTCTAGTCATGTTTTAAGGACTTTAGTCTCTTCATTAGTTACAGAGAAGTAGAAAAATTGACATTGCGTTATTGGAATAAAGGCAAATATATTTTCATAAAGGTATAGTTTTCTAGAGCTAGGAACAGTGGCTCATGCATGTAGTCCTAGCAACTTGGGAAGCTGAGGAAGGAAGATCACTTGAGGCCAGGAGTTCAAGACCAGCCTGGCAATATAGCAAGATTCTTTCTCTTAAAAAAAAACAAAAAACAAAAAAAAAAAACCTTCATTCTTAGCTAAATGAACACATATTCTTGATAGTTTGAACAAAATGGTTACATATTTCAGAATTGATTATAATTAAGTCACTGTGATGAAAAACAGAATAAGTAGCATACAATATTAAATCTCATTTGTTTCCTAAGCTGATATGTGGGCATAATTTACATTTTAAAATTATTTTAGCAATAATTGTTACCAGTCTAAAAAGGTGGTTAGTTGTTTAATAGAAGAGTAAAGACAACGAAAAATCGTTTACCCACAAATAATTATATATTTATGTAAAGTTTCTATGGTTATAAATTGGTAGTTCACATATCTGAAGATTTTGTATATATTTTGATGTTCTTTTGTTATAGTCTAATGAATTTATGATGCCCCTTAGAACTTATGGTTTACTTTCTAGAGTTTAGGATTAAAATTAGAGATTAATTAATTTATATAAATTCAGGTCACATACTTAATCGTGTTGAAATCCATGCTCATTTGAAAACATAAGGGCCTTTTAAATTTTGGGTGTTAAATTTAACCACAAACCAAGTTTAAAAATAGCAGGATGTCTCTCAAGAGAATACTGTTATAGTACATTAAATTATTTTAATAAGCAACCAAATGCCAACTTGAGATAAAGTAATATATCTCACTTTGTCCTGTAAATATTGATTATAAAATGGATTAAAATTTTCTTAAAATAGGATTGGAAGCACATTGGTTGAGAAATTTCAGTTGAAATGCATGGAACATAGGCTGGGCATGATGGCGCACACCTACAATTCCAGGAGTTTAGAAGGCTGAGGCAGGACCTCCTGTGTTGAGGTCAGGAGTTCGAGACCAGCCTGGCCGACATGGTGAAACCCTGTTTCTACTAATTGCACAAAAATGAGCTGGGCATGGTGGTGCACGCTTGTAATCCCAGCTGTTCGGGAGGCTGAGGCAGGAGGATTGCTTGAAATGGGATGGCGGAGGTTGCAGTGAGCCAAGATTGTGCCACTGCACTCCAGCCTGGCGACAAAGCAAGACTCCATCTCAAAAAAAAAAAAAAAAAAAAAAAAAAGGATAAAGAAATGTATGGAACAAAGCTAAGAATATTCCTGTTTCTTTTCAAAATTTATACATGTTATATGTACAAATTGTTAGGCTTGAAATAATTAAAAATTTGTGTTGTTTCTTTTGTCAATAGCAATTTCATCATGAAAACCTGGTCAATCTGATTGAAGTTTTTAGACAGAAAAAGAAAATTCATTTGGTATTTGAATTTATTGACCACACAATATTAGATGAGTTACAACATTATTGTCATGGACTAGAGAGTAAACGACTTAGAAAATACCTCTTCCAGATCCTTCGAGCAATTGACTATCTTCACAGTAATAATGTAAGTGCTTCAGAATAAGCCAATTTGTAGGATGAATATGAATCATAAGTGCTCCTTATACATTGTTTTATTTTTATGAAGGTGGCTAACAGTATTTTTTTATACAATAATAATAGACATCCTGAAAATGGGGATAGGGAATAGGGAGCACTACCTTTTGGTTGCAGAACCAAAAAATATTGAGCACTCAGTAATTCCAACTGTAAGGCAGACCAAGTATGGGATAGTAAAGGCAGTATCAATAATTATGTTTAGTAGAATCAGTAGTCAGCTGGGGCACTATTATTAGAGAAAGTATTAAAACGTTGGAAGTCAGGTCTGTGGCTTAATGGAGAGTTGCTCACATAAAGGGAGGTTTAGCGAGACTCCGCCTCAAAAAAAAAAAAAAAAAAAATGGCAAGTTTAGCGTTGGGAACTGGAAATTAGGCCAAGGGAATAGCAAGTAAATGTGGAAGCCTTTAGGGGAAGAAAGGAGATATAAAGTGGCTGAGCTGTGTGAGGCCTTGTCATTTAACCTATGAAAAATCAAGGAAGAGGAAAGATCACAGCTATTCTGATTTTTAGTGTTGACTTTAGCATTGACTTGTAAGCTTTTAGCTCAGCAGGTTTTTTGTTTGTTTGTTTGTTTTGTTTTTGAGATGTTTTGTTTTTATTGCCCAGGCTGGAGTACAGTGGTGCGATTTCGGCTCACCGCAACCTCTGCCTCCCGGGTTCAAGCAATTCTCCCGTCTCTCCTTAAAACATCTCGGTGTTTGTCCGAAATGATGGTGCTCCTCCTCTATCAACCACCACACCTGGCTAATTTTTTGTAGAGATGGAATTTCACCATGTTACCCAGGCTGGTCTCAAACTCCTGGGCTCAAGTGATCTGCCCGCCTCAGCCTCCCGAAATGCTGGACTACAGGTGTGAGCTACTGCACCTGGCACAGATTTTTTAAAAGATCAAATTAGGTACTAGGTATAAAGCATTTAAACTGTGTCAGGCCCATTTTAAATGCTCAATAGATAGTGCTGGTAGGCTGGCCATAGTAGCTCACACCTCTAATCTCAGTATTTTGAGAGGCTGAGGCAGGGGGATCACTTGAGCTCAAAAGTTCAAGCCCAGCCTGGGCAACATAGCAAGACATCGTCTCTACTAAAAATAAAAAATAAATTAGCTGGGCATCAGGCATCGTGGCACAATACTGTACTCCCAGCTACTTGTGAGGCTGAGCTGGGAGGATTGTTTGAGCCTGGGAGGTCAAGGCTCCATAGCAGTGAGCTATGATCATACCACTCCATCCTGGTTGACAGAGCAAGATCCTGTAAGTAAGTAAGTTAAATAAATAAATATAGCAAGCTGGTTTGGAGTCAGGAGAATTAATAGTTGTGTTAAGGAAAGAAAAGGAAAAGAAAAGAAGGAAAAGAAAAGAAAGCTGGTAGGGAGTCAAGAATAGTTGTGTTATCTTTGTATCTTTTTAGAGCCTTGTCTGTATTAGACTCTAAAAATGTTTCTTGAATAAAAGGAGTTATCAGTCTGGGCTAAACTGACAGTAGAAAACTTCCAAGATGAGGTAAAACTGAAATAAGTAGAATTTTGAACTGTAGTTAGGATTTTGTTGGAATAGAGAAGAAAATGCATTCAGGTGGGGTACCATTGTGAAAATAGAAGTAGACCGGAGTGGGGGACTGTAGAGAGTGCTGTTAAGTCAGGTTACAGGGAACAACAGGTAGAGGAAGATAAGATTACACAGGTTCCCAGGGGGGAGATTTTCTAGAACCTTGAAATTTATCCACAGGAGAGTGGACTCTTTCCTGAGGATCCTGGGCAGCTATTGCAGATTTTGTTGTTTTTTGTTTGTTTTTCTTGAGACAGGATCTTGCTTTGTTGCCCAGATGGGAGTGCAATAGCATGATCATAGCTCACTGCAGCCTCCAACTTCTGGGCTCAAGCGATCCTCCTGCCTCAGCCTCCCAAGTTACTAGGATTACAGGCACATGCCACCCCACCCAGCCCATTGAAGGTTCTTGAGCATTGCTGTGACTAGATGAAAACAAAATCTAATTTTATTTTAACAAGAGTAGAAGATATGAGTAGATAGAGACCCAGAGAGATCAGGCGGGAAACTGTTGTGACAGTCTAGATGTGTGGGTGGTAACGGTTTGGACTAAGTAGCAATGGGAAGGAGAGGAAGGATGGCAGAGGGATAGGATGGAAATACTTCAAAAGGAAAATCACAGGACTTGGGAACTAATTAGGTATGAGAGAGATGAAAACAAAGGGTGAAATCAGAGGTTATTACAGTATTTTTTTCGAGACGGAGTCTGTCTCTGTTGCCCAGGCTGGAGTACAATGGCAGGATCTCGGCTCACTGCAACTTCTGCCTTCTGGGTTCAAGCATTTCTTCCAGCTTCAGCCTCCCGAGTAGCTGGGATTATAGGTTCCTGCCACCAGGCCCAGCTAATTTTTGTATTTTTAGTTTAGTTTAGTTTAGTTCAGTTCAGTTTGAGACGGAGTCTTGCTCTGTCGCCCAGGCTGGAGTGCAATGGCGTGATCTCACTGCAACCTCTGCCTCTTGAATTCAAGCGATTCTCCTGCCTCAGCCTCCCGAGTAACTGGGATTACAGGTGCGTGCCACCATGCCCGGCTAATTTTTGTGTTTTTAGTAGAGACGGAGTTTCACCATGTTGGTCAGGCTGATCTCAAATTCCTGACCTCATGATCCGCCTGCCTTAGCCTCCCAAAGTGCTGGGATTACAGGCATGAGCCACCACGCCTGGACAATTTTTGTATTTTTAGTAGTATTACTGTATTTTTAATTGGAGAGCAGAAGTGCCATTGTCAATAACTGAGTTTAGAAGTGGGAATTGCATTAAGATATATTGATGGATTTTAAGGGATAGTGAGAATTTCTAAGTAAAAATAGTGGCTAACCAATTATATCATGACTTTGGAAGTTTTCAGAACTGAATATACAGATTTGAGAATCTTCCTCTTAGAGACTGTGGTTGAAGAGGTAAGAATAGATCATTCTCCCAGAAATGGAAGGAAAAAATAAGAGGTAGTTCTCATCACCAAGCATGGAAGAGATCTGTGGAGTGTTGGAGAACAGCAGAGAAGGAGGCCTAGACAGAAGTACCCACATTCTTTTATTCTCTTGTTCTTATCTGGAACCTGGAGTAAAATTATCCCTGTCCCTTACCTCACAGAATGTTGTAAGGCTAATTACCTTTGAGAATTAAGGCAGCCATGAGTGAAGTGGCTCTTTAGACTAGATATTATTTATTTTTATTTATTTATTTATTTATTTTTGAGATGGAATCTCACTCTGTCACCCAGACTGGAGTGCAGTGGCGCGATCTTGGCTCACTGCATCCTTTGCCTCCCGGGTTCAAGCGATTCTCCTACCTCAGCATGCCGAGTAACTGGGACTACAGGCGTGCGCCACCACATCCGGCTAATTTTTGTATTTTTAGTAGAGATGGGGTTTCACCATTTTGGCCAGGTGGTCTTGAACTCCTGACCTCAAGTGATCCTCCCACCTCGGCCTCCCAAAGTGCTGGGATTACAGGCATGAGCCACCATGCCTGGTGTATATAGATATTTTTTAAGAGATGAGGTTTCAGTCTGTTGCCCAGGCTGGAGTACAGTGGTACAATCATAGCTCACTGTAGCCTTGAGCTCTTGGGTTCAAGTAATCCTCCCAACTAAGGCTCCCGAGTAGCTGGGACTACTGGTGCATGCCCCCAAGCCCTGCTAAAACTTTCTTTTCTTAATATTTCCAAATTTCAGATGATGATTTTTTTTTTTTTTTTTTTTTTTTTTTTTTACACAAGAAAAAGCTTTTTTTTTTTTTTTTTTTTTTTTTTGAGACAGAGTCTCCTTCTGTCACCCAGGCTGGAGTGCAATGGCACAATCTCAGCTCACTGCAACCTCCGCCTCCTGGGTTCAGGCAATTCTCCTGCCTCAACCTCCTGAGTAGCTGGGACTACAGGCACATGCCACCATGCCCGGCTAATTTTTGTACTTTTTGTAGACACGGGGTTTCACCATGTTGGCCGGGATGGTCTTGATCTCCTGACCTCATGATCCACCTGCATCGGCCTCCCAAAGTGCTGGGATTACAGGCGTGAGCCACCATGCCCGGCCCCTGAAGCGGTATCTTAATGTGCTTTTTAATGTCTGTTTTTGTTCACATTATATCCTTAGGTCTTGGAATAGTGCCTGGCATATAGTAGGCACTCAATGAAAATTGTGGTAGTAAAAAAGGATTTATATATTTTGGCAGATGACAACTTTAAAGTGGCTCAATTAGAAAGGCTTACCCTAAATTAATTTTTTGGCTATTTATGGAGGGAGATTGAGTCAGAACAAGAGCCAGTCTCAAAGATTTATGGTAGTAAGTTGTATAAACAAGGAAAGATCCCAGATTTCTGTCACTGAGACATTTCTACTTCTGCTATGATACTTTACAGGTGATGAGTATGTGCTTCTGTAATTCTTTTGATAAAATTTGTAAATGCCTTCTTTGTTCTAGGCACTGTACTGAACACTGGATATTAATTGAACAAGACAGATGTGCATCTTGCCCTCACGGAGCTTATGGTTTAGTGGGGGTTTCAGACAAGTAAACAGGCATGACAGATGCTATGAAGGGGAAAGTGCAGATTGATGTGAACATATAGAAGGAGCATCTAATACTAACATACAAGCTGAGTCCTGAGGAAATAGCTGACTTGGCCAAGCAGTTGGAGTAGCATCAACAAATGCACAGAGATTAGACAAACCCTGGCAAATTGGGAAACTAATACTCTATAGGCTAGGGAAAGGAGGTTAAGAGGATAAGTAGGGGCCAAATCTCACAAGGCCTTATAAGCCATTTTAGGGAGTTTTAAATTTATCCTGCAGGATGAGGAATCCTTGAAGCAGAGAAGTGACATGATCAGGCCTAGCACGGTGGCTCATGCCTGTAATCCCAGCACTTTGGGAGGCCGAGGCGGGCGGATCACTAGGTCAGGAGATCGAGACCGTTCTGGCCAACATGGTGAAACCCCATCTTTACTAAAAATACAAAAATTAACTGGGCATTGTGGTGCGTGCCTGTAGTCCTGTAGTCCTAGCTACTCAGGAGACTGAGGCAGGAGAATAGCTTGAACCCGGGAGCCGGAGGTTACAGCGAGGCAAGATTGTGCCACTGCACTCCAGCCTGGTGACAAAGTGAGACTCCGTCTCAAAAAAAAAAAAAGTGACATGATCACACATCTGATTTTAAAATAGTTCTGTGACTTCATTGTGGAGACTGAATTGGAGAGCACGAATGTGAATTCAGGGAGACCAACTGATAGACTTGTGTATTAATTTTGTGAGACAGCTGAGGAGACCTGAACTAGGAAGAGCAGTAGATAGGTTAAGGGAGTGTGGGGAGGGAGAAAAATGCCGTTGGTTTCTGGCTTGATTTATGGAGTAAGTGGTGGTTCCATTCACTGTAATAGCAGATTGTTGAGAACCAGTAGGTTTGGGGGAGAAGATGTGTTTAGTTTTAGATTTGCTGAATTTAAAGGACCTGTACCTAGTTTGTGGGATTTATTGTGGACTTTCACTTCTTGTGGAAACCAGGAGAAATATCTGTGAGACATAGAAATGTTGAAATTATCAGTAGTATATGGACAGTTACTAAAGCTATAAGAGTAGATGAATCTTATACAAATGTAAACTAAAAATAGATTAAAGATTTAAATGTAAGATCTGAAACTGTAAAACTACTAGAAGAAAACTTGGGAAAAGTTCTATGACATTGGATCTGGGTAATGATTTTGTGGATATGAACCCAAAAGCAGGCCGGGCGCGGTGGCTCAAGCCTGTAATCCCAGCACTTTGGGAGGCCGAGACGGGCGGATCACGAGGTCATGAGATCGAGACCATCCTGGCTAACACTGTGAAACCCCGTCTCTACTAAAAAAAATACAAAAAACTAGCCGGGCGTGGTGGCGGGCGCCTGTAGTCCCAGCTACTCGGGAGGCTGAGGCAGGAGAATGGCGTAAACCCGGGAGGCGGAGCTTGCAGTGAGCCGAGATCCGGCCACTGCACTCCAGCCTGGGCGACTGAGCAAGACTCCATCTCAAAAAAAAAAAAAAAAAAGAACCCAAAAGCACAGACAACAGAAGCAAACATGGACAAATGGGATTACATCAAACAAAAAAGTATGCATATCCAAGGAAACAATCAATAGAGAGAAGAGAGAACCCACAGAATTAGAGAAAATACTTGCAAACCATACATCTAATAAGAGGTTAATATCTGGAATATGTAAGAAACTCAGATAAATCAATAGTAAGAAAACAACCTGATTAAAAATTGGGCAAAGGACCAGGTGCAGTGGCACATGCCTATAATCCCAGCACTTTGAGAGGCCAAGGTGGGAGGATAGTTTGAGTCCAGGAGTTCAAGACCAGCCCAGGCAACATGGTGAAACCCTGTGTCTTTAAAAAATAAAAATAAAAAATGGGCAAAGGAGGCTGGGTGCAGTGGCTCACAGCTGTAATCCCAGCATTTTGGGAGGCTGAGGCAGGCAAATCACTTGAGATGAGGAGTTTGAGACCAGCCTGGATAACCTGGTGAAACCCCATCTCCACTAAAAATACAAAAAGTAGCCAGGCGTGGTGGCGTGTCCCTGTAATCCCAGCTACATAGGAGGCTGAGGCAGGAGAATTGCTTGAACCCAGGAGGCAGAGGTTGCAGTGAGCCAAGATCATGCCAGTGCACTCTAGCCTGGGTGACAGAGCAAGACTCCGTCTAAAAAAAAAAAGAAAGGAAAAAAAAAATCAACCTAAGTGTCCATTAAGGATGAATGCATAAAGAAAATGTGGTATGTATACACGATGGAGCACTATTCAGCCGTAAAAATAGAAGGAAATCCTGTCATTTGTGATGATGTGGATGAACCTGGAGAACGTTATGGTAAGTGAAATAAGTCACGCACAGGACAAATACCGCGTGATCTCAATTACATACAGAATCTATAAAAGTGCAACTCATAGAAGTAGAGCGTAGAATGGTAGTTACCACGGGCTAGATTGGAGGTGGTTGGGGAGATATTGGTCAAGAGATACGAAAATTCAGTCAGAAAGAAGGAGTAAGTTCAAGAGATCTGTTATACAAAATGGTAGCTAGTTAATAACAATGATTGTATTCTTGAAAATTGCTGAGAGTAGAATTTAAGTGTTCTCACCCCAAAAAAAAAGTATGTGAGGTAATGTTAATTAGCTTGATTTAGCAAATTTTACAATGTATACATATTTCAAAACAACATGTACATAATATATACAATTTTAATTTATCAATTAAAATTAACAAAATGTTAAAAAGTAATTCAGGCCGGGTGTGGTGGCTCACACCTACAATCCTAGTGCTTTGGAAGGCTGAGGCGGGAAGATCGCTTCAGCCCAGCACTCATGATCCGCCTGGGCAACATAACCAGACCCTGTCTCTACGAAAAAAATGTTTAATTAGCCAGTAGTCCTAATACTGTAGGCTGTAGGACTACAGGCACGCGCTTGTAGTCCTAGCTACTCAGGAGGTTGAGGTGGTAGGATTGTCTCAGGTGGTAGGCTCCTTGCTTGAGCCCAGGAGTTTGAGGCTGCAGTGAGCTTCGATTGTGCCTTTGCACTCTAGTCTGGGCAATGGAGCAAGACCCTATCTCTTTAAAAAATAATTTCTTAAAAAGAGTTGATCAGATTGAGATGGAGCAGCCAGTAGGCTGATATATATATATCAATATATGAGGAGAGGAAAGCCTAAGACAAGGACCCTATGTTTTAGAAATAGACAGAGAAAGAGTAGCTGCCAGGTAGATAGGAGGAGATTGGGAACATTTTAGGTCCGAGAAACCAGGAATGAAGGAACAGTTGGCATTGTTTTTACGCTAAGAAACCAAGTAAATATGGGCGGAGAGATGGCTATTGGATGTAGGAAAAATGTAGATGACTTTTTTCCTATGGCTAGAGAAGTTTAATGCAATGTAGGAGCAAAAGAGAAGGTTAATTATCTTGAGTGACTGGGTCAGAAAGTGAAGACTGTGAGTACAGATAATGTCTTCAAGAGGTTTAGCTGTGAAGGACATGAAAGGGCCGGAACTGGAGTAGGACATAGAGTTAAAGGAAAGTAAAATTTCAATAAGTTCTTTTCCTTTCTTTCTTTTCTTTTTTTTTGGGGGGACAGGGTCTCACTCTGTTACACAGGCTGGTCTCAAACTCCTGGCCTCAAGTGATCCTCCTGCCTTGGCCTCCCAAGGTACTAGGTTTACAGGCATGAACCACCACTCCCAGCCTCATTAAGTTCTTTTGGTTTTTCTTACACGAATGTGATTTGCCTTTTTAGTATTATGTCTGTTTTTTTGGCTTCATTTTATTTTGAGGTGGTGGATGGAGCAAGAATTGAAAACATGTAACTATATTTGCATTGTGTAATTAATCCTTTGCATGTGGTAAGGAAATAGCTTTACTATCTTAATTAGCTAGATTTTCTTAGTATTATTTTTGAGAGGTTCTGGATAATGAAATCTCATTTTAATGTATTTTGTATTCTGTTTGTTTTTAGATCATTCATCGCGATATAAAACCTGAGAATATTTTAGTATCCCAGTCAGGAATTGCTAAGCTCTGTGATTTTGGTTTTGCACGAACACTAGCAGCTCCTGGGGACATTTATACGGACTATGTGGCCACACGCTGGTATAGAGCTCCAGAATTAGTATTAAAAGATACTTCTTATGGAAAGTATGTATATTTTGGGGTCCTGTCAGCCTTTCTTAGGTATCTTTCTTTTTTTTGTTTTTTGAGACAGAGTGTTGCTCTGTCGCCCAGGCTGGAGCGCAGTGGTACAATCTCAGCTGACTGCAACCTCCACCTCCCAGGTTCAAGCAATTCTCCTATTTCAGCCTCCCGAGTAGCTGGGACTACAGGCGCACACCATCACTCCTTTTGTATTTTTAGTAGAGACGGGGTTTCACAATATTGGTCAGGCTGATTTCGAACTCCTGACCTCAGGTGATCTACCCGCCCTGGCCTCCCAAAGTGCTAGGATTACAGGCGTGAGTCACCGTGCCCAGCCTCCTAGGTATCTCTTTTATCCCTTGGTATATTCTTGTATATCTGTCACCCTAATACTGACACACTCTGCCCTCTGCATCTAGGTTGGGGCTAAGAAGAGGGACACCTTTAAAGATAACATAACAGATTCTTTAGGTACCTGCGTTGCTGGCTACTGCTACTGCTGCGCTCTCTCAGCTCTCACGGGTTGAATGAACACAGCCCCAGAAGACCTATGCAGACATCCCTCAGAGTGTATCTATATTTGCTTTAAACTGTGCCATGCCCTCAGCAGAGTTCCCTCTTCTGTTTATCTTTAGCCTCGACATTCTGCAAATATTTGAAATCATTTATCTTACTCTGCCAGTGTTGCAGTAGGAACTGCCGAGTTTCCCATTTTCTGGAAAAATGGTACCCTCTTTGTGAAGACTGGCAAATAATTTTAAATTCTACTGTTTTAGGTGCAAAAATTAACCAGGTGTGGTGGCGTGTGCCTGTAGTCCCAGCTACTTGGGAGGCTGAAACAGGAGAATTGCCTCAAAAGTAGCATGATCTCGGTCTAACATAAAACAGCAGCCTAAAATATAAATAATCAATCTTGAACATAAAGAGATAGAAGTATGTAATTTAATACCTGATTTAATGGAATACATGGAGGAGGATAATTCTCATGTGCTTTTCCTAGAAATTATTATTCTGTTATTATAATAATATGTAATATTAATGAGTACTTACTTTTTGCCAGAAACTGTTCTAAATGCTTTATATACATCAAATAATTTAATCTTTACAACAACCCTGTGATGAAGTTGCTACTATTAGCATTCTCATTTTAAGTAGTAGAACACTAAGGCACAGAGGTAAAGTAATTTGCCTGAAATCACATCGCTGCTTAATAGCAGAACTGAACCAGGATTCTAACCCAGGTGGTCTGGATTCACAGTCCATTCCCCTGGGTACCTTTTCAGCTGTACCTACCATTGATGCCCTGTACAGACTGTCTCTGTACCTCAGTTACTTCATCTATAAAATGGAAATAATAATAGGACTCACTTCGTAGGTTTGTGGTGAGGATTAAATGATTTGATACATGCTCAATAAATATTATCTACTCTTACTCAAAGTCCTAAAATATTTTTTCTTCATTTCTTTTTTGCCTCTGGGCATAATGTAGCCTGCATAAGATCTCTCTATCTCGCTGGGCGCGGTGGCTCAAGCCTGTAATCCCAGCACTTTGGGAGGCCGAGATGGGCGGATCACGAGGTCAGGAGATCGAGACCATCCTGACTAACATGGTGAAACCCCGTCTCTACTAAAAAAAAATACAAAAAAGTAGCCGGGCGAGGTGGCGGGCGCCTGTAGTCCCAGCTACTCGGGAGGCTGAGGCAGGAGAATGGCGTGAACCCAGGAGGCGGAGCTTGCAGTGAGCTGACATCCGGCCACAGCACTCCAGCCTGGGCGACAGCGTGAGACTCCGTCTCAAAAAAAAAAAAAAAAAATCTCTCTGTCTCATTTTTACCCTCTTTTCATGATGTAGCTTAAATTCCTTTTCTGATATACTCCCTAGCCCCCCAATCCTATTCTACATCTTTTAGTACATTGTCTGTAAATTTTGTGTCAGTTAATATTTAACATGGGCTAGTTCTTTCTCTAGCTCTTTTTTTTTTTTTTTTTTTTTTTTTTAACCTCTCACTAAAAGTTAAGTTCCTTGAGGATAGGCATAATCTCTTATATTATACATAACCAAACTTGGTGCCTGGCCCATAGTAAGATTGGATTCTAGGAGAATTCACATTATGTTTGACACAAATTTGCTTGTGAGTCTGTTTTGATAACTTTTTTATTGTAAAAGAAAACACAGACACAGACTATCTCACATAACAAATGGATAGCTCCACCACCTGATCAAAAAATAGGATTTTGCCCACCACCCCAGAAAACCCTTTGTATGCCCTACTGCAGTTGTAACATGCTCCTTTCCCCACAAAGCAACCATGATACTGATTTTTATTGCAATCATTTCCTTGCATTTTAAAAAATAATAGAGACAGGTCTCGCTGTGTTGCTCAGGCTTGTCTCGAGCTCCTGCCCTCAAGTGGTCCTCCTGCCTCAGCCTCCCAAAGTGCTGGGATTACAGGTGTGAGCCACCAGGCCTGGCCATTTCCTTGCATTTTAAAGATAGTTTTATCACCCAAATATGCATCCATTTAGTTTACTCTAGGCTTTTTTGAGATATGATTCATATATCATACAAGTTATCCATTTAAAATGTACAATTAAGTGGTTTAAAGTATATTCACAGAGTTGTACAACCATAACCATAGTAATTTTGGAACATATTTATCACCCCAAAACGAAACCCTGTGCCCATTTTAACTCTCCATTTCCTCCCAACCCTTCCAGGCCTAGATAAACTCCTATCTGCTTTCATTCTCTATGGATTTGCCTATTCTGGACATTTCATATAAGTAGAATTATGTAATATATGGTCTTTTGGGACTAGCTTTTTTCACTTAACATAGCATGTATTAGTACTTCATTTCTTTTTTTTTTTTAAAACAGAGATGGGGTTTTGCCATTTGATCTCGAACTCCTGACCTCAAGTGATCTGCTCACCTCGGCCTCCCAAAATGCTGGGATTACAGGCCTGAGCCACTGTGCCCAGTCAGCACTTTGTTTCTTTTTTTTTTTTTCTTTTTTTAGAGAAGGAGTCTCGCTCCGTCGCCCAGGCTGGAGTGCAGTGGCGCGATCTCGGCTTACTGCAACCTCCACCTCCCGGGTTCACACCATTCTCCTGCCTCAGCCTCCCAAGTAGCTGGGACTACAGGCACCCGCCACCGCGCCTGGTTAACTTTTTGTATTTTTAGTGGAGACGGGGTTTCACCATGTTAGCCAGGATGGTCTTCATCTCCTGACCTTGTGACCTGCCCGCCTCGGCCTCCCAAAGTACTGGGATTACAGGCGTGAGCCACCACGCCCAGCCCACTTTATTTCTTTTTATGGCTGAATAATATTCCACTGAATGGTTAGAGCTCTTTTTATTTACCCATTCATCAGTTGATGGACATTTGGGTTGTTTTTACTTTTTAGCTATTATGGGTAATGCTGCTATGAGCGTTTGTGTACTTGTTTTTGTATGGACATATGTTTTCTTTTTTTTTTTTTTTTATTATACTTTAAGTTCCAGGGTACATGTGCACAATGTGCAGGTTTGTTACATATGTATACTTGTG